TCCCTAGTTGGGTCATGAAACGTCTGCAAGGAAACCACCCAGCTCAGGGAGCAACCCAGGACCATTCACTTCAACCCTGAGCTGCAAATGTTCTCCTTTACAGGAAGAAGGAGAAGTTTTCTCACCATGGCAACGGGCATCCCAGTCCAGAAGGACGGGTTCCTTCTGGACCACAAGACCCGTGGCCCAAAAGAAAGGGCTGTAACCCAACTGGGAAGGGACGACCATGGCTTTTAAAGGCCGAACTTAAAGGAAAAGAGCCCCAAAGAGGATTAGGGGACTGGAGGCTCAAACGTCTAAAGATCAGTTGCAGGAACTAGTCTAGTGAAGAGAAGGGGAGACATGACAGCAGTCTTCCAGTATCTCAGGGGCTGCCCCGAAGAAGAGGGAGTCAAGCTATTCTCCAAAGCATCTGAGGGCAGGAGAAGAAGCAACAGGTGGAAACTAACCAAGGAGAGAAGCAACCTAGAACTAAGGAGGAATTTACTGACAGGGAGGACAATTAACCAGTGGAACGGCTTGCCACCAGAAATTGTGGGGGCTCCGTCACGGGAGGCTTTTAAGAAGAGACTGGACAGCCATTTGTCTGAAATAAAGTAGGTGGTTGAGCTAGAAGACCTCCAAGGGCCCTCCCAACTTTGCTATCCTGGTAACAGAGACACCTCGTGAATCAGAAACCCACCGGACAAGCTCCCTGGCCTCATTCCAAAGGCCCCCCAAAAGGGAGGGGGACCATCTTGGTGTGTGTGTGTGGGGGGGAGCTCAAATGGATGCTGGCTGGTGACCCTTTCCGACCCCCCCCCCAAGTGGCCCCACTCACCTTTGTTGGCCGTCGCCATCTGACCCAGCGAGAATCGCGCTGCGGCTGTACCAAAACCCCAGGACCATCAGCCGGCCATGCTCCGGCAAACTGAACGGGGCTGCCTGGCGGAAAAAGAGGGGGGGGGGAATTGGGGAGCGGGAGAGGGAGCGAGAATGAGAGAAAGGGTGAGAGAGGGAAAGGGAGAGACAGAGAAAAAGAAGGGGGGAGAGAGAGAAAGAAGGAGGGAGGGGAGAGGGAGAGAAAGGGGGGAAGAAAGAGAAACAGGGAGGGAGGGAGAGAATGGAGAGAGGGAGGGAGAGAGGGGGGGAAACGGAGGGAGAAAGAGAATGAGAAAGACGAAAGGGAGGGAAAGGGAGAGAAAGGGAGCGGGAGAGAGGGAGGGAGGGAGGGAGAATAAGAAAGAAGAGAAAGGGAGAGAGTAAGAGAGACAGGGAAAACGGAGGGAGAAACAGAATGAGAAAAACGAAAGGGAAGGAGAGAGAAAGGGAGAAGGAGGGAAAGGGAGAAAGAGAGGGAGGGAGAGAGAATGAGAAAGGAGAGAGAAAGGAAGGGGGAGGGAGAGAGGGAAACAGGGAGGGAGAAACAGAATGAGAAAGACGAAAGGGAGGGAGAGGGAAAGGGAGAAGGAGGGAAAGGGAGAAAGAGACGGAGGGAGAGAGAATGAGAAAGGAAAAAGAAAGGAGGGAGAAAGAGAAAAGAGAGAGAAAGAAAGAAACAGGGAGGGAAGAGAGAGAAAGAGAGAGAGAGAGAGAGAGAAAGGGAGGGAGAAACAGGGAGGAGAGAGAAAGAGAGATTTGAGTGCAGGAACTCAGCTGGGATATCTGCAAATTGGCCCCTTCCAGCCAACCCCTTTCCACCCTGGGCTGTCTCTTTATCTGCTGGGAAGCAGGTGGCGCAGGCAGATGTCGGAGAAATAAGCAACTTGAGGCGTGTTTGCCAAAATAGCCGGAGGGCGCAGAGGGAGGGAGGCAGGCCCGTCATCTGCAGGTCCCTCTTACTGACCCCTGACTCCTCTGGGGAGGGCGAAGCTTTTCTGCCTCTTTGTGTAAAAAAAAAAAGAGGAAAAAAAGAAGGGGGAATTTGCACTTCTCTGCAAATTATCGGCTTCTCCAGACGTCAGCCTAAATTTGATGGGAGTTTTTTTTGGGGGGGGGGGGGGGAGGGGGGGTGTTTTTTTTGGGGGGGGGGGGGCGCAGGGGGGTTGTTTCTTTCGTGGGTGGGTGTCACTGATGCGAGAAAGCACCCTGGCTGGAAAAGCCAGTTGATGCATTACTTTAATTTACTCAGGGTGCTATTGTTGTTTTTATGTTATTATTATTTTTTAACTCTAATTAGCTTTCCTTGGCGGTTTGCAATAAAGCCCACAAAGAAAGGAAAGCAAGGTTGTTTTTTGGGGTATTTTTTGGAATAAAGACGTGATAAAAATCAACCCGAAGGCCCAATTGAAAACAGCCGGCCGTCTGGGCCGCTGCAAGGCAAGACACTCGAAATGTGAACTATGAATGGAAAGCCCTGTTCAAAACACAAAGAGAAGGCGAGGAAACAGTTTGGAGGGAGGGAAAAAAAAGCCTTGTTCTTTCCGTAATAGCTTCCCGTGGTTTGTTTGTGGGAATGCGGCCGTCGGGAGGGTTGAGGGCCTCCGGGTGCGCAGCGTGCCCTGCGAACACAGCCAATCCTGACTTGCACACAAGTCAGGGCGGAATTCGGCCGGTTGGGACCGGTTCGGGCGAACTGCGTGTTAAATTTGCATCTGGTTTGCCCAACGGGTAGTTGAACCGACTGGCCAAGCCCTGCCCGCCCCTCCCCTCCCCGAGGAGTCTCCACCTGGCCCGTTTTGGATGCAGGTAAGTGCAGACTCCAGGCGGAGGCTCTGGGAGGGGGGAAAAAACGGGCCTACTAGAAGTCTGGAAACGGGCCTGTTTCTGGCTTCCGGAGGTCCTCCAGAGCCCGGGGGAGGCCATTTTCACCCTCCCAGAGACCTGAGGGAAGCCTCCGGACTGTGGGGGAGGTCAAAAACCGCCATCCCAGAAGTCCTGGTAGGCCACGCCCACCCTTCAACTTTGTCTTTCTTATTGACAACTGTTACTGTATTTCCCCATGTATAAGCCACCCCTTTTTTCCAAAATTTTCAAGCCCAAAAAGTAGGGGGGTGGCATATACAAAGCAGGTACACTTTTTATACGTGAAAAATGCATAAAATAATAAAGTAGGAATAAACTGGTTTTCCAGCAGTATGCTATACTTTTTTGTAAAAATTGTACGTGATGATACGATTACGAGTGCGAGTACGCGATAGAAATGCATACGCTAGGCATCGGCCTGAATGCTTCGTTCCTACTCTCGTTCCGATGCGTAGATTGCTAGCGTCGCCCGCACCGCTTTCGGCGTCATGACCGAAGTTGTAGATCTAGACGTCGAATTTTGTTTCTTTGTAAATTTTCTTTCTTCATAACTTGTTTCTCTAATAAAATATTTTTTTCAAAACTTCACAGTCCAAAAATTGGGGGGGTGGCTTATACAAAGGGGGTGCTTATACATGGGGAAATACGGTAAGTCTGGGGTGTTATGTGGCAGGTGCCTGTCTGCCTGGATTCTGAATTATTATTATTGTTGTTGTGGTTATTTCAAATGGGTAACAATCGTGGCTCAGGCTAACTTGAAGCCAAGCCAGAGAAAATAAACTATGATTGTTTTTCACACTTACGACCAAGGCAACATCCCCACGGTCGTGTGATCGAAATGAAAGATGCTCGGCCACTGACTCGTATTTATGACGGTCGCAGTGTCCTGGGGTCCCCGTGAATCCCCTTTGGAGACTTTCTGACAAGCCCAGTCCACGGGGCAAAATCGAGCAAAACTCACTTAACAACGGCCTCACTTAGCAACAGAGATGTTGGCCTCCCTTGTGGCCGTTATGTCGAAGGCTACCCGTAAGCTCGGATCGGCTTGCGATGATTAGAAAAATGTGACCTTTTCCACAAACGAGGCAGCAATTACTTTGAATATCTTCCATCCCACGAAGCCACCCCTGACCCCCGAGGCACTTTAGACATGCTCAGATGCTGCCAAGAGGCTTTGGCGCTGCTCCAAGTCCCAATAAAAAGAACCTCATTATCTTTTGTGCCAGTTTTCTTTTTTCCCCTCGTCTGGGCATCACTCCCTCCCAGCACGGGTGGTACCCAGCACGTGTCAAGCAAGCGAGCAATTTTTCAGGTATAAAAATAAACACCCCAACCCCTTGTTTCCATCCCATCCCAAATAAATCACCTCAGCCATTAAAAACACAACCATCAAAGCAACAGGCGCGCCTGGAAACCCGCCAGTCACACCACCACCCCAAAAAAAGGGGAAAGGAGAAAGGATCTTAGGAACCAGCCGGCGAGTTTCTCTCGTTCCCCGTTTGGAGGATCTGGCAAGCATTGCAGCTGCTGATTCTGCGTGATCCGGCCCCCTGCGGCCCCCCTCCCCAACACACCCATCATGCACTCCCTTGTCCTCATCTCACCCCCCTCTCCAACCCATCAGCCAAACAACTCCGTGTCCTTTTTTGGGCGCAGGAAGATAAAAGGGAGAGTTTGGACAACGCAGGGTAAAACATCGCATCTAATCTGCAATGCCTCGTTGTATGTTATCGGGTTTTCTTTTCCGATATTTTAATTTGCAGAGGATAAAAAATAAAGGTTCCCCTCGCACCTACGTGCCGATCGTTCCCGGCTCTAGGGGACGGTGCTTATCTCCGTTACAAAGCCGAAGAAGAGCCAGCGCTGTCTGAAGACGTCTCCATGGTCACCTGGCCGACATGACTAAACGCCAAAGGCACACAGAACTCTGTTACCTTCCCACCAAAGGGGTCCCTATTTTTCTACTTGCATTTTTTACGTGCTTTTGAACTGCTAGGTTGGTAGAAGCTGGGACAAGTAACGGGAGCTCACTCCGTTACGCAGTGCTAGGGATTCGAACCGTCGACCTTTCTGATCGACAAGCTCAGCGTCTTAGCCACTGAGTCATACGTAACATTAAAAAGAAAAAAAAAATGAACGCAACAGATAAAATACAGATAGAGAAGAAAAAATACCAAAGGCTAATACCAAAGTACAGGGGTGAACCCACAATTCATTCAGTGACGGTTCAAAAGTACGACGGCACTGAAAAAAAGGACTTAACGCTGTTTTTAACACAACCATTCTCACATCCCCCCCGTGGGCATATGGTTTACGTTCAGATGTTTGATCAATGATTCACACTTACGACGGTTTGCAGCATCCCGGGGGGGTCACATGATCCCCTTTGCTGACCTTCTTCTGACGAGCCAAGTCTGTGGAGAAGCCAGAATCGCTTAACAACCGTCTGACTAGTTTAACAACTGCAACGCTTCGCTTAATAACTCTGGCCGGAAAGGTCGCAAAATGGGGCATAAAACTCACTTGAATAACGGTCTCCCTTAGCGATAGAAAGGTGGGGCTTAATTGCAGTCCTAAATCGAGGACTGCCTGTATATAAAAGGAGAAAAAGATGATCGTGCGAACCCCAGGATACCGCCACCGTCATAAATATGAGTTGTAAGTGTGGAAAAGGGCCATGTCATTTTTTCCAGGGCTGTAGTTTCGGCCAGTCACTAAACAAGATGGTTGCAAGCCAAGGACTGCCTGTGCTGCATTCAAGAGCATGTAATATAGAAGGTCTCAGGGTTCTGCTCACAAACTTGCCTTCCTTCTTGAGGCTTTGCACAATGAGCTTTCTCCAGCAATATACGTACAATAGTACAAAATAGAATAAGGAATAGATTAGAGAATAGAATAGAATAGAATAGAACAGAAGAGAGAAGAGAAAAAAGAAGAGAACAGAAGAGAAGAGAGAAGAGAAGAGAGGAGAAAAAAAAAGAAGAGAAGAGAATATAGAGAAGAGAATGGAATAGAGAAGAAAGAAGAAAATAGAATAGAAAGAAAGAAGAGAATAGGGAAGAGAATAGAATAGAGAACAGAACAAAACAGAGAATAGGGAATAAAATATAATAGAAAATAGAAGAGAGAATAGGGAAGAGAAGAGAATAGAACAGAACGTAATAGAGAAGAGAGAATAGAAAAGAACAGAACAAAATAAA